AGCATGCCCCTTCCGAAAAAGGGGCCAGTGTAGATGTAGCCATAACCCTCCCCGCCCCCCCAAACATGTTGATTTCCCAGAAATATATAACACAAGGCCTTTCTTGGTTAAACTCTTTGTTCTATTTCTCCCCTTACCTAAACCTTAATCTTTATTTAAAAGCTTTAGTAAACTTCATTTCAGCTTGGTTACCTTTGGGTTAGGGGGACAGCCTACTTGCGGCAATTTCTCTTTATCTTTCTGTCTCCTATCAAGTGTCTACTTGCTATCCACTCAACTCTCTTTTTCTAGGCCAGCATTTTTAAGCTATTAGTATCCCACTTTTATCCAGGCTCAGACCAAGAATGAAATAAACTTGCCAGTTGAGTTGGAATGAGGAAAGGACATTTCCCAATTCATAGTTCCCCCTTTGCTTCCTCAAGGACCCCAGTAGTCTCCAGACTACACCTTACTTCTCCCATTATTTCATGTCCTGTTGGTTTGTCTCCTGCAGTAGCACCCTTAACAGATGGCAGTCAGACAAGACAGGGTTAAATAAGTGAATGGTGGAGCATGTGACTTATTTTATGTGGGGAATTGTTAAACTCTAATTTATCCACAAACACTTTTCTCTTTGGTGATTCTAAGTACAGTACAAAGAAAAATCTACGTTTTTAGATGGGAGAAGTGAGATACAGAACTTAAGTCACGTCCCACTGGTCACGCCACTCCTCAGTGACAGAGTGAATGGTAGAACCCAGCTCTTTTGACTTCCATGTAATTGCTTCAAAGCAACTTGAATTTTTGCCCAGAATGCCTTTTTGAAAAACAAGGAGAACACTTCAATACTCTTTGTTTTGAAACTAACCATAGAATCCTATTCTTATATTGATTTATTCAACTTATTTGGAAAATAAGAGAAACTATCTTTTAGCATTATCCAGTGAGGCCTTTTATGCCTTATTAGAGGATTCCTCGTAGACAGGATGGCATGTAAGAAGCTACACATTCTGGTGTGTGTATACATACCTCCTTTTACAAAACTGAAAAACCAACCCTATTTAAAGAAAAATTTGGAAGAATATTTTAACTGGTTTGGTTTGGGATGGAATAAAAGAAGTTAGGGCAGGCCCACTGACAAGGAGAGGGAAAGAAGGCAATTGTCCTGAGGCTCAGCAATTTGACAGCAGTGGTGGCTGGACTCCTGGGATCTTGAAATCACCACTGGAGCTCCATGCAGTGTGCTCTCTGTGGCACTGGAGGCTAGCCCCCTGCCCCACTCCTCCCACTTGAGTGGGGAGTGACCTCAACCCCCCCCCTCGCCCAAGGGCTTAGCAATTATTTCAGCCTCCCTGAATGAGGTCTGTGATGAGGTTGTGATTGTCACTCCATATTTGATTGAGAGCCATCAAAATTAAAGCCAGATCACCTAGTCTAACCTGTATTAAGATAGATCACTTAATATCACCATTCTGTGTTCAGCCAAATTACTTGTATTTGGCTAGAACATATATTCCAGAGGACATCAAGAAATATGGAGAATCCACCACTTCTAGAAGTTTGGTCCAGTGGCTAAACAGCCACATTTTTCTTTTTCAAGTGTCTGAGTTCTAACCTGAATGTCTGGCTTTAGCTTCCGGACTTAGGTTCTTGTGAATCTTTTTTTGTTTGTTTTTTAACTAGATTTAAAAAGTCCTCAACTACCTGGTGTATCGTCCTATGTCTCCCTACAATGGAACACAAATTCAGTCCCACCTTAGTTCCCCACACTAGCTCCACTCTGAATAACCGAGCGTGGTATGTGTTAGTAAGGACCTCTCTCCCCACACATTAGAAGGAAAGATTGGGAAAGGAATTAGAGGGAATTTTCTCTCCTTTCTTCTGACTTCACCCTGCATCTCACTTGGTTTTTATTTCCATTTCAGGGCTTTAAGAAATCTTTGGGTATTTTAAAGTGACTCTAGAGTTGCAATTACTAAACTGAGGCACTCATTCACTCTAGAATATTTTGTTCAGAATATTGCTTTTCTCAGAACAAAAACTATAACTTCCTTTTTTAGCTATACTGTTATCTGGAAGGATTCTGTAAATAAAATGAATGGAAGTTAGCTATAAAATGTGTGCCATCTACTCCATGAGTTAGGGAAAATAAGTGCTGGCAAATTCTTGGCATATTTTGGGATTATGTGCTCTTAACTGCAGGCCCATACATCACAACACCCACTGTATTAGAGTGCCTTTCAATTTTGACTGTATAATGTGTAGAGGCATTCCAAATTTTGTTTGGTGCTCATCAGCATGCTGAAAGACAGTTGAATGTGAACCGCTTATGCCGGGGATAACAAGAAAATTAATGCTATCTTTCATGTCAGTGAAAGTGATGCCCTGGGTGAAACTGCTGTTTTAACTTGCTTGCTGAGCCAAGTGATGTGATAGACATGCTAACCTTAGAATTAAACTTGGGATCAAAGGTTAGTGGATGGAAAACACTTCAGATATGAAGGATGGTAGATAGTAAGCAGTGGCTCAATGTTAACAAGAGTCTGTTTCCTATGCTTGATTTTTCTGATGACCTATCTAATCAGGATATCTAAGATTCTCATCTCTTCCCCCCTGCTTATTGGGTTCTTACTCAGAATCACCTTGCAATAAGCTGTGCCTAAGTTAGATCATTTAAAAACAAACACAATTAGAACAAGTGCAATCTTGGATTCTTTAAGAAATATATCTAATCAGGTCAAAATTATAACCTCTCTGAATCAATTCAGTTCCATCTGATCTTGAATTATTCTCTTTCTTGTTTCTTAGCAACTGTGCTTATTGGGTTCTTACTCAGAATCACCTTGCAATAAGCTGTGCCTAAGTTAGATCATTTAAAAACAAACACAATTAGAACAAGTGCAATCTTGGATTCTTTAAGAAATATATCTAATCAGGTCAAAATTATAACCTCTCTGAATCAATTCAGTTCCATCTGATCTTGAATTATTCTCTTTCTTGTTTCTTAGCAACTGGAAACTTTCTCACAAGACCACTATTTAATATTATTTATCCTGTCTAGAGTCTCTAATGCCTAATGAGGAACAAATGGTCGGAGAAAATATTTTTCCATGAAGAAAGATAAGGAATGTCTGTCAATCTTTCCATTTTGTGCTGTAATGCTCTGTGGCCATGCATATACCATGGCAGTAGCCAACAACTTACATAAAGGATAGAACTTGTAATCTTTTTCTAAAACAGTGGCTTCTGTTCTCTTTGTCTATGTCTACACTGCAGGCTTCTTACACAAGAGTGTGTCCACATTGCCGTGTGCTTTTGTGCAAGAACGTCCATGGCAGTGTGGATGCTCTCTTGTGCAAGAAAGCTCTGATGGCCCTGTTAGCCATAGGGGTTTCTTGCGCAAGAAACCCCTGTTCCCGTCGACATGAGCCTTTTTGTGCAAGAGCCCTTGCGCAAAAAGGCTTATTCTTTGCGGGGAGAGGAATAACTCTTGTGCAAGAAGCCCTCTCTTCTGACAATCTACTGTAAACTTTCTTGTGCAAGAACGGGCTTGTAGTGTGGATTCTCCACAAGTTTTTGCGCAAGAAGGGCTCTTCTTGCGCAAGAAGCCTGCAGTGTAGACACAGCCTTTGGGTTACAGGTAAATTTAGTAAGGCTGTGTCTTTGCTACAGCTTACATTGATCACCCGAGTGACCTAAATTACACTGACCTAAGCTCCAGTTTGGATAATGCTATGTTAGTGGGAGAGCTGCTTCTGCTGACATAGCTGCTCTTGCTCATTGAGGTGGTTTTATTTTGCCAGCGGGAGAGCACTTTTCCATTGGCCTAGAGCATCTTCATCAGACAAGCCCTAAGACATGCACCTTCTTTCTAGACCTGTCTAATTGATCTAGCATGCAATAAAAACACCACACAAACTCAGATAACTTCTCACTATCAACAGCAAAGACCTTATTTCTACTTATCACAAAGCAACTCTAGCAAGAAAGTTAGATTCAGGCATCTATCCTCCTTTGTTCTCATGAATCGAACACGCTACTGAGCAGTTGTTTTGTCTGCCTAAGCAAGGCCAAATTGTTTCTCGCTATGTGGTGCCTTTGTGTAGCCAAGTTACTTGCCTATCATGCTAATATGGTTGTGTTGATTTAGATTAATTCATGAATATATTAATGGATAGGTTTAGTATATAGGTAATAGTTAAGAGCTGTAATGCAAGGAATCTGCTAAATGCTGTAACAGGCCATTTGCAAGATCAACAGAAGCTAAGGTTGGCAGATTTCTGTGGTTGAGACGCTGATCTCACCTAGACACAGGTCATAGTTTATTTAGAGTTTCCCTGGACTGAAAAGCGGAATGCATGTCTAGGACCTCTCATCCACATAGGATGGTAGGGAAAATACCCTCAGACTAAGCAGATGTATTAAATAAAAAGTCCCAAAATAACTGGTTCAGGCTGAGCTGAAGTAATCAGGACATGGGATGTGATAAATGACCATAGAGGCCCATGGTAACAAATTGACGTATATAAGTTGAGTGCAATGAAACATTGACCAAAAGGAAAAGGACACTTCAAAACTAGAAATTCCCCTACTGAATATGCATCAAACATGTATTATATGGATAGCTCAGTGATTTGAGCATTGGCCTGATAAACCCAGGGTTGTGAGTTCAATCCTTGAGGAGGCCATTTAGGGATTTGGGGCAAAAATCTGATGGGTTGGTCCTGCTGTGAAAGCAGGGGACTGGACTCAATGACCTTCCAAGGACCCTTCCAGTTCTAGGAGATAGACATTTATCTAACCTACTCTTAAAAAAAATGAATGAAGATTGCCTATCAGGGATGGTCTAGACAGTATTTGGTCCTGCCATGAGGGCAGGGGACTGGACTCGGTGACCTCTTGAGGTCCCTTCCAGTCCTAGTATTCTATGATTCTATGTCAGTGTCACATAGTATAGAAGTGGGACCCCAGCCTACAGGTGATAGGGAGAATAAGATTTAGTCCTTGGAAGGGCCAGAATGATGGCCCTTGGTGGTGATGGAGAAGGTGAAGATAATGAGAGAGATGACGAGCTAATACCTAAGATTGTTCTAGAAGGAATGATGTAAATATAAGGGATGGAAATATGGATGTACATTCCCTATTTTATGAAATTGGGGTATTGGTGACTGTGCTAACTGTATTAATAAAGTATATTTGTAAATGTACAAGAGTTTCTATAGTGTAGGTGTTGCAACTATACATTTCAGGGTTCCCAACCATAGAATAATTGAATACTGGGCTTGAGCCTGGGATAAAGAACCTGTTAACCCTAAAGGTGGTAATTAGAAATTAAAAAGTAATCTTAGATCAGGCAACATTCACTTCCAGCTTATCGTGGTTGTGTGTAGGATAACTGTCATGACCAGTTTTCTTGTAACAGTGGCTACAGGGAGGAGGGCTCTTCCCAGAGAAATTCATGATCCCTGATAGGGATGTCAATAAGTAGTCAATGAGATTAACTGATAAGCCTAGGTTTATCAATTCATCAGTTAATCTAGTTGACTACTCGCATTCCCCCTTGTTGCCTCTGTATCAGAGGTAGCAAGTGAGGGGGGGGGAGAAACTGGTGCTGGGGAAAGTGGCTTAAAAGCGTGCTGCTGCTGCTGCCTCTATCAGCAGACGCTACTTTGTGGCAGACCCAGGCTCTTCACAGTTAGAGGCTGCTCCATGGGAGGTATAGCGACCTCTGTCTGCAGGGAGCTTGGACACCCCCTTCCCCACAGACAGGGGCTGCTCTCACCCCATGATTCTGCCTCTGTACGAACTTGCCAGATTTGTTATCATGGGCCTTTGGGTCAGGGACATATGTGACATCCCTGTACTGTGCTGACACAATGCAGCTTTGATCTATGGCTGGGAACATAGGATGAGCTACTGCAACCTAATAGGTAAACATTAAGCCTATGTCTGAATTTTTGCATGAGACTTTGTGGCCAGCTTTGGTTAAACAAACCAGATCCTCTTGAGACTGTGAACATTTCTCAGAGAAGCTGTTCAAAGGTCAGACTCTATTCTTGAGAGTACGTGGGTGGGCACTTTCCATGGTTACTAACAAAACCATTATTTCCCAATATTTCTAAAGATCTCTCCAAGTTGCTTTGAAGAAAAATTATGTAAATGGTGCCTATATATACTGCAAACTGCCAACTCATTCATCACTGAAATTGCAGTCTATGGTTTATTGTTTTAGGCAGCCAGGAGGATTGCCATTTATAGTTGCCTTCCAGAAGCTTACTTCATAAACTTTTTTTTCCCTAAAGTTGCTCACTCTCCTTGCTCCTTATTGTGTTGGGAAAGGCACATGTTAACATGGTTACAGAAGTGTCGTTCTCTAATTGCATAAGGTGCAAAGATCAATTTCTTGGAATTGTCACTGGCTTCTCAGTTCCATTCCAGTGTATTCATTAGTGCACAGTTATTCTGTGCAGTTATTCAATCTGGTACAGATACAATAGAGCACTATAATAATTTTAGGAATTGACCTATACGGTAGACTCTAGAACTACTAATTTGAAGGGAAGTATTACAGGGCATGGATTTTTTTGTACATTAAAAATCATTTAAAAAGAGGATGCTATGCATGGTTTAAGCTTGGCTGTTGCTACATATATCAAGCTATCTCAGGATTATAGATTTTTTTCCTTTTAAATTAAACCAATTAACTCTATTTTGCAGTAGAAATAGACTATTACCTAGAAGATCTCATAGGCCTTCTCTCATAGGGTAGTACCTAATTAGGCAGTCTCTCAAGTGCCCCTTCCCTCTGTGGATTTTGCAAGCATCCAGAGTATCACCTGGTTTGAACTTACACTAATGTTTCTACATACAATACAGTATTCTTACTGTATTGTAAGTATACCTACTCTAATATTGCATGATTGTTCTATGAGAGGTGAACTTTTGCCTCTCCTTGGTTAGCATTGAGACCAGGTTATAATCTTCCAGTCTACCTGTCCTGCTACTATGGTATGTGGGGGTGGTGTGTGTGTGGTGTTCCCCTCCACCCTTTCTAAGAATGTTACTAGGTTTAGCAATGAATGTACTAATCTGTGCTAGCAAATACTGATTTGTGATAGATCCCACCTACTTCCAAATTAGCTGTTGAAATCAGGTCTGAGTCTGATCTGATAGAACTCCTTGCTTACACCAGTGTGAATCTAGTGCAGTCAGTGAAGTTGAATCTTTTTTAAAAATCAATCTAAGGGCTTGTCTACATGAGAAAACTAAATGGACCCAGCTATGTCACTCCAGAGTGTGAACAAATCCACTTCCCTGAGTGGTGACCTAATTAGGTGACCTAATTTTTCTGTCAACCTAGTTACCACCTCTGAGGGAGCTGGTTGCATGAAGTAGTGGGTACACTAACATGAAACAGAGGTTCAGCTGCAGCCATGTCATGGTAGCATTTCAAGTGTAGACAAGCCCAAGTACATCAGTCTCACTGTTGTGAAGAAAAAATGATCTGATGTCACTATGGGAGAGAGGGAATCTTGTTCTTCATACTGTTACATTTTTGTGGCTATGTCACTGAGTTGAGAGGTTTTCAGACTTGTTTTATGTTCTACACAAAAACATCCTGCCTAGGAAGGTTTGTTTTTCACTCTTGAAGATAGACAGTGCACTCAATTAATAGTGTTTGACCCAGTAAAGAAACCAATGGAAAACACAGAGAGGTAGCCAGCCCCACATTCAGTGATGGCAGAACAATGAGTCAACTTGATAGAAGCTACTCCTGTGTTGAACAATATTTATTTTTTTTGCAGTTTTTAATATATTGTCTCCAATCTAGGTTCTTTTCTCAAATAGTTTTAAATCATGGTATAAACATAACAGCTCTTGGTGACAAACAGGTACTACTAAAGAAAAGTGACAATGACTTCAGTTATCCGCATGTCTTGGTTCTGTGTTACCAAAAGAATGTTCTTCTTCTATGTGTAGTTGTAAACTTCAGTGATGTGATAAATTACATTAAAAAAATACTTTTAAAAACAAACTACAGGTTGAAAGTCTCTAAACCAGGCCTCTGATCCAGTAACATCTGTGGTCTGGCACAGATGTTGCAGGACTAGAGTCCTGTTGGAGGGTCAACAGTAGGAGTGGAGACCCCCGCGGAGATGACAGAGCAGCAGGCTGCCCACAAACAAGCTGATGGTGGGGCTCGGAGGCCCAGCGTGTGGCTGCCTGGTAGGGCTGGGATCCGTAGTAGCAGTGCCTCGGTGGGGCAGAAAGCTGCGGCAGTGGTGGCAGCTGCCGAGGAAGGCCCGAAGCTGAGGCTGCCTGGCTCCGGAGCTGGGGAATACAGCTGTCAGGCGTGTCCCACAGCCCCAACATGTGGCTGCCCAGCAGTGCTGGGAGCCAAGTAGAGGTGGCTGCTCAGTGGAGTTGATGAAAGCAGGGCCAGTGGCAAGAGGACCAGATGTGATCTCCCCTGCTCCGGCAAAACCTCTCGTCTGGCACCCTAGGGACCTGACCAGTCCCAGATAAGGGAGGTCCAACCTGTACCACTTTTCATTGTGTCTTAATAGTTTCTGTGTGAAATATGCTCAGTTTACATGTTTAAATATGTCAGCTCTACTACTGAACCTAGGATCTGGGACAGAGCTGGGATCTTTTCTTCTAACTGCATCCTTGCCAGTTAATAGACTCTGCATTCCAAATTATGTCCTTGGTTATATCCATGTGACCTCAGCCTCTTCAGAAAAATGTTTGGCTGACAGAACATTGGAGTATTATTGGAAGGGGGAGTCATTACACCAGGCATGTCACTGCAATAGGAGCTATAAACTGTCCATGAAAGGGAGTCAGTTTTGAGGAATTTGAAACTTTTCAGAAACTGGCTTGGTTGGGGATATTTTCTGTTTCTAAGCTTGGGCTCTTTTGGAGGCTAATCAAAACAATTTTGTTTTGAATTTAGTATGTTAGACCCAATGCAGCAAGTTGAAACCCTAAAAATGTTTTGATTTGAGTGGCACACATTTTTCTGTTTTTTGTGTGCTTGTTTTTTGTTTATGAACTCTTTTTTGAGATTTATCTTGATGTGGGAAGATGTTTTTTTAAAATATCCAAATATTCTTGGGAGTGGACAGGAGACTTCCTGTTTTTTCTAAATGTGACTAGTGAAGAAAGAATGACTGGTAAATGTGTCAGGGCATTGTTCTTGCTACCAAGTATATGCCACTATCTGGCTGGATCATGTACTTTTTCAGTCCTAAACGCACATCAGATTTTCTTTCACCAAGATATATTTATTCTTTTCTTATGAAGCTAGCCTACAGTAATTGTAGGCTAACAGCAAGGGGAGGCTTCTTGATGGTCTCCATTCCACAACCGAGACTCCCCTTCTGAGGTTTCCTTTGTAGCTGCCCTTTGCTTCCTGTTACTCCCACTTATATCCTCCCCATTACGTTATTAATGAGTACAGAAACCCCCAACCAGGTATAATTGGCTTCAGTTAAGCCTCACTGCTTCTCAGACTGCAGCAAACCTAGTGACCAAAGGCTGCTACTAGTACCTTGTTGTAATGAGACAGAAGCTTTCTGTGTTTAGCTGGTGCTTATCCTGTTTAAATATTAGGAGAGAGCCATCCTAACTTGTAAAAGTAAAAACTACTTAAGTACCTAAATATATAGGGTTTTTTTTTATTAAACACCTATCTTTTGGAAAGTAAACTGAGTAAGAAGGCAGTTCCCACGTCTCTAGACTGTCTACTAAAAATATAACTGTTTTTATGCCTAGCAATATACCTCACGATTAAATAACAAACTGTTTGGTGTTTACATGGGTAAAAACTTCGAGACTGAAATACAGGCAGTCCCCAAGTTATGCGGATCCGACATATGTTGGATCCATTCTTACAAACGGGGCTTTTCTTGCCCCGGAGGACGCAGGCGGCGGGAGCGCCCAGACGCGCCGAGATCCCGCTGCCCACGTCCTCCGGAGCGAGAAAAGCTGCTCCGCGTCTCCCTGGTCTGCTGGGTGGGGGGGGCCAACAGACGAGGGAGACGCGGAGGACGCGGGCGGC